TTCTAATCTAAAGCTTGAACCCATCAGTCTTTAGTAAACATATAACACTCAAGCCAACTCTACTAACAGTCCTTCCATTTTAATGGAGCGAATGTGAATATATAAACTATGGAGTACAAAGTATTAATTGGAACCACGTTAAATCTAATGTCTGTCTTTTCATGTATGTTGTTGTATTTTCTTGGTTTTTGATACACCAAAAATCCAGTGTACCAGTTTCATCTTTGGAATGGTTCAAATGCAAGAAACTTCAATTGGTTTTGTGAATTCAAAATTCCATTGTTCCAAATTATAATATTGAGCCAATCAGGTTCTCTTTAATGGGCATGTGTATATAGAAAGGTAAATGAGAAGAGGTTAAGGACAAGGAGGTGCATCTTATTCTCATGGAACAAATTCCCTTTTTTTTTACTTGGGTATCTTTTTTGGACTGCCATTACTCCATGAAAGTAGCAATAACAAACTGCTCAAGCTTCCGATGATGATGATGCAACAGTATGATGATGAATTAGGGTAAAGGACTTAAATGTATCTCTAAGTTTTTTTTTTTTTTTAAATTGATTAAAACATATAAACCTGAGATTTTTAAATGGACTTAAATATACCTTATTGGGTGGCCACAATGGACTTAAACGTACCCTCCTATAGTGAAATGTTTAGAACCATTAACATTAACGTTACAGCACCCAAGGATTAAAATATCAATACAATACGTCCAATACGGGGCGTATTGTATTGTATTGGTATCAGTAAAGATATGAGATACGCCACGACTGACACTATGTCGTATAAGTCATGCGTATCTGCCGATACAGTATTGGATTGATACGCACCGATGCAGAGGCATATCGAACCCGAGTTTAATGGAAAAGCACTTCACTAGAAAAAGGGATTTCATGTGATTCAATCCCTGAAATCAGGGCCTCCTAGTGTCTAGGAGCGCAAGATCTTAACCATCTAGCCGCATTCTATTTTGTGATAATAAATGAAATAAATTATCTTTTATTAAAATTAATTCTTACATTTAATATAAACAAATAATATTCAATAATTCCAAGTACAAATTAAAAAGAATAATATTCAAAGCTATTATTTTATAAACCAATAAAATAAATAATTTATCAAATCCACATATATAAATGATTTTTTATTTCATTAAATTTATACAAATAAAAATATTATTAATAGAATAATTATTTTAATACTTAGAATTATTTATATAGACTTGATAAGTTATAATAATTATTTTATAAATTATTAATTAATATTTTAATTTGCATTAAATAAAAATGTATTTATTATTTAAAAAGATAAAATATTATTTACAAAATATTTGAGAATATAATATAAATTGAATCTATCAAATCCACTAATCTACATTTAAATAAAAGTTAATTTTTTATTTAAAAAATTCATAAAAATAAAAATATTAATAATGTAATAACTATTTTAGTAATTAAAATTTATGAATTTTCATATGATATGCATCTTCAAAATTTTAATAGATTTGATATATTTTGAGTTAAGATTATATATTTTTATAAATTATTAATTGATATTTTCATTTACATCTTATATAAACATATTTATTGTCTACAAAAATAAAAGTATTATTTACTGAACAATTTTGAACTAATTTTTAGTTGATTTTTTTTGTTTATGTTAAAATTTGAAAATAGTAAAATAAAAATAATTGATATAATAATTCAAATATAAAGGTTGCATATGTTTTATGCCTTGGATTTTAATAAAAATAAAAATTGATGCATTAGCAATAAATTTGTATAATATCTATGCATCCCTATATATTAATTGTAATATATTTCATCATATATACCATTAAAATATACAATTCTTATGTATTTATATATTATTTATAGTTATTTTGACATTAAATTTGAAGTTATTAATACAAATATTGAATTTGTATACATTTCCATAGCGTATCCAAGCATTTCCATATTTTCCATCTGTATCCATGTGTTTCCCAAGCATATTCATATCCATATCCGTATCCAAATTGTCAAATATGATACTTAATACCCATACTTTAATCCTTGACAAGACCCGTCTAAGGGTCCATTTGGTTCGCAGTCAGAATCAAAATCGAAATCCATTGAAATCAGAATCGGAATGGTCCATTCCCATAATCTGTTTGGTTCAGACAGGAATGAAAATGGGAATTAAAATAAACAGGAATGAGATAGGGGCAGGGAATGGCCATTCCCTCAAATGGGGGAATGCCATTCCAGCAGGAATGGGAATGGGATTCCGATTCTGCCCAACCAAACAGTTGGAATCGGAATAGCCCATTCCAATTCCAATTCCAGACCCCTATTCCTGCAAACCAAACGGGGCCTAAATTTTTAAATACCATGTTTTTCCCTTTTAAATGCTCCTTCAATCTCTAGTTCTGTATCTCCTCCGAGAAAAATGTGCAAAAAAGAATTTGAGAGTCCTGTCACCATGGAGGCTTGAGCAATGCACAAAACCCATAACTGTGCTTGAAGGAGTGCTCTGGTGCAAGCCGGGTCATCATCTTCCTAGTGTTTGATCAAATGTTGGTGCCAAAGTAATAACTTCATGACTGAACTCACTCATATTCATGGAGATCATCCCAAGTTAAAAATGAGGATTCAGACGGAACTTTAAGTAATGAAGGCATTGTTCTAGATGAACAAACCTTAGAGCAGGACTTAGAAATAGATATCTAGGAGTACTATGCCATGAGGATAGCAGGGCTTTAGTTCTAACGTCAAATGCACACGGTTTTACAATTCCTTCAGAAATGTGGCGGGAATTATTCGGTTATTATCTTGTCATGGGGAGGGGAGCTGTGAATTTGAGTGGGAAGAATATGAACTCCCACTTGAGATGGAGCTGAAATGGTTAAATAGCAATTGGGTGGGGGCAAGTTTGCATTTGAGCTCTTTTCTTTGTTTCAAGTTTTGACTACATTTGGTCTCCATTGCGTTGCAGTCTAATCTCTCTTTCTCTAGCTCAATGCTTAATTATTTATTTTTGTTGCCTTTGAGAGGTTGTAGGAGGGTTGCATGGAATTGAAAGTGGAGTTTTGATTTCTCTTTAATTTTGTAGCACTGGTTTTCTTTAAAAATTTGAAGCATAACAAAGGGCAAAATAGTCATTCAATTGATTCCATAAAATCTAACCTTCACAAAGTATGTTTAAGTCAATTTCTCAAGCCTCTGGGTATGTTTAAATCTTTTACCCTAAAAATAATCCCTTTCCAGAGATGTTTTCACATGATTGGCTATCTAATGGAAGACTGGGGTTCTGTTTAGATCATCTCCTTTTTACTCCCTGGAAATAAACTGAAGTCCTTAACCTCTAGCCCTTTATTCTTGGCTCAGAAGGGGTATAAATACAAATATGCACATTATAGATATATACAAAATAATACAAAATACAAGTTTTGCCCGTTGTTTTAAGAGGTTCTTGAGGCAAGGCCAAAGGCTTAAGCCTCGAGGTGAGACTAAGAAAAAAGGCCTGGCCTCAATAGCCTTAGACCCCATTAGCAAGACTTAGGCCTTGAGTTGTTTGAGGCTTACACCTTTGGGCCTTTAGCCTCAAAATGTCTAAGGCTTAGGCCTCAACCATTCCGCATACTAATTGGAATATGAAGGTTTGCATAGGATCAAATATAAATATAAGGAAAAAATGTCTTGTTTTGTATATATTGGTCTAATGAGCAAATAAATAGACATACAATTAACAAAAAAATGCATATAAAATGCCTAAGAAAATAGTTTGCTTTATTCTTACCCATTTATCTCATGCTTCATAATCTATTTCTTCTAAAGCACATGCATCATACAAATGGTCACTCTTCACTAATGCATACTAGTGCAAAAAATGAAATAGGAATGCATTGTTCTTAAAAACAATGTTGGTTCATATCCCTAAATTGAAAATTTGACTTCTATGGTTTTATTCTTATAGGGAAAAATTAAAAAGCTACTTTGGTAAGATTCTAACCCAATTTGTTTTTGTATCTTTGGGGGTATCAATACCTCTTTTTTAAGGTATTTAAAAAAAAAACTCTTTTTAATAATTAAATAATATAAAACTAACCTTATATAATTAAAAAACTGAAAAAAAGGTATGCATGGTTCAAAGTGTCAAGCGATATAAGATCCTAATTTTATGTTTTTAGGTCTTTATTGTTTACGGATTATATCCTTTTCATTCTTTTGCCGAAGTAAGCCTCGCCCCTACTCTGTCAAGGATATGATAAAGTTGGGGGTCTCTCCTAGGGATGACAGTTTTCCCCATTTCCCTCATCCCCGTGGGGATCCACCCTGAATGGGGCAAGGATGGGGATGATTTTCCCCCCGTGGGGACGGGGATGGAGAAAAATTCTCATCCCCGTTAGCGGAGATCGGGCGGGGATGGGGAGAGCACTCCCCACCCTGCGGGGACCCCAATCCCCGCTTTGTGGGATCCCACTAATATATATGTATATATGTATGCATATGTTATATATGTAAATATGTAAACATATATTTATATATTAATATTTTTAAAAATATGTTTGAATATTTTCTAATATGATTGTAAATATTAATTATTTTATTTTTATTTTTTTAAATAAAATAAAAAATAAAAACAAAATGGTTAGCATTATAAAGAATCACGGGGAATGGGGATAGAGATAACCTTGTCCCCGTTAGCAGGGGCAGGGATGGAGAGAGGCCCCCCGCCACGGGGATGGGGATGGGGATAACCTTTTCCCCGTTAGCGGGGAGCCCCCGTCCCCGCCCCGCCCCGTTGCCATTACTAGTCTCCCCTATTACTTTGCCCTTGCTTTGCAGGGAAGTCCGCGAGCTGGTTGGCCTCTGCTTAAATCTGATATTCCCATTTTCTCTCCTCGACAAAGTTTTCGAATGTCGCGAATGATATTGCATGTGGTCCATGGTGGTTTCGCTCTGCTTTGAACTTTGATAATTCCCTGGAATATAATACTAATTTTCTCATCACTTATTTGTTCAAAACTTAATTTACTTTCGAGACTTTTAATTAAAATCAATAAATCCAATAAAAGAATGATCACAATTGTTGAGTGAGGGAGAAGGGTTCACTTGAAAAGTTCACTCCCCAAAGTTACAACACCAATGTCTTCAACCATATCAGCATGCTGATGACCCATTACTCTCTCCTGGATCACCTCTAGCTCCCTAACCACCCTCTTCATTGTTGGCCTTCTTACACTGTTACCCAAACACTGTAATGCCAGATTCACCATCCGTTGAATGGCATCTTCTGCACCATTCCTTAATGTCTTGTCAACTAACCAGTTGAGATCAGAAATGTCCTTAGCCTGAGTATTGTGGAGGAAAAAGAAAAGACACAAAGCATGAAAGGCCAGTCAGCACTCTAAGCAACAATGGTAGACTCCAAAAGATCACTAATTCACTTGATAATGTTTCCAGATAGATGGTCATGTTCTTCCTATAAGAATACCAATGCATGCAGATGCTTTAAACTAGTACTCTATTATGTATAACAACAATAAAACTTCAAGCGGATTAAGTACCAGAGATACTAGATTCTGCTCAGATTCTGCCAGGTTCCTACAGAAAGCTTCACGCCCACTCACTAACTCCAGTAAGAAGACCCCAAAACTGTACACATCGCTTCTTTCAGAAAAATCAGGTGACAATCTCAACCTGAAAGAAGCCCATCATATGTTAGTGATATAAACAAAAGTCAGTATTATTTTCCACCCTAAGTTATACAAGCCATAGATGAAACCGGAAATAATCAAATACTGAGTTTTTTTTATAGGTCAAATACTGAGTTTTTATGGCTTCTCAAAGTAGCTGAACAAAATAAGACCCGACTTGTCAATAAAACCCAACTGGCATGTTGTTTGGGATATGGCTCCCCACTAGACTGGTGGTTGGGGCAATTCTACTGGTATGGCACTTGAGCTCACTGCTCAGTATAGAAGTGGGGAAGGTAACAATAGAAACCTAATATGCTATCAGTTATGGTTACACAACTAATGTGATGTTGGGAATGTGAATACTAAACAAAATGGCCCCAATCAAAGAACAGGTTTGACACAATATATACTAAGTTCTACAGTCTTTTATACATAGAAAAGTTTCCTATTTTACCATAGTCTGTGCATCCGAGAGTTTTACTTTGCATGCTTTAGAAGGTTAAAGACAAAGAGGGTACAGATGAACATACTCCGGGTCAAGAAAGCAATCAATGGCTGCAGATGATCCAGCACGGCTACTCTCATCCAGTAATCTGGATAGTCCAAAATCAGAAACTTTGGCAACAAAATTTTCATCTACAAGAACATTACTTGTTCTGAAGTGCATGTGTAGGAAAGGGGGCACCATACTGTGCAGATATTCTAGTCCTGTTTGAATTTAAAAGATAAGGTGTCAATACTTCCCTGGGAAAATAGGACATGCATACAGATCATGATTTTATTCAAAGCAAGCAGTTACCTTTGGCTGCACCCAACGCCATGGACAACCGTCCTTGGATGTCTAACTTTCCAATTGGAAAACCATCACGATCTACATAGTATCATTTTGTAAGTAAGCTTCTATTTGTGTGTGATAATATATATATATATATATATATATAGAGAGAGAGAGAGAGAGAGAGAGAGAACCATATAGATAATTCCCAATGTTTCCATAAGGGAGGTATTCATAAACAAGCAACTGTTGATGGATTTCTTGGCAATAACCAATAAGCTTGACAAGATGTCTGTGGCAGACATGACCAATGTTCTCTATCTGAGTTTACAATAAGTGAAGATGAGTCAATCCAACAAAATTATCTCTTTCACTAATACAACCCAAAATTTCAAAGTGAAAAAGAACAGGGGAAAAGCAAACATATGTGTTTGTCCATGTCAATTTTACCTCCTGAACAAAATACCGACTTGGGTCATGGAAACGTCTCTTGATAGCGATCATAGACCCATCCTGAAGCAATCCTTTATACACTAAACCGAAGCCACCTTCACCAATAATATTACTCTGACTAAAGTTGGATGTGGCTTCCTTCAGCTCAACGATGGATAACTGCCTAATATTCTGTTGTTCAAATAGAGAGGAAGCAACAATATGGGGAGAACAATGCTCTCTTGCCAACTCAACTAAAACGAAAAGAAGAAAAAGCAACAGAGTTAATGAAAGTTCATAAAGGGAGCCTAACTTTGCATTTCATTCTGCTGTAGAAAATTATTTCTTAGCGGATTGCTATGACTGGTTCATGATGAAGATGTATGATGAATAAGACATTGACCATTGTGAGAAATTTTCCTATGTAAAGGATATGTACAAACTTCAATTACCAAGAGGAGATGGCACAGAAGATCCTGTCTCCGACGTTCTTCTCACTATTCTCTTAGCACGCATCAAGCAAATGAAGACAAGCAGTACAGAGACAACGACAAGCAGAGATGCACCAGCACTACCACCAATTATGGCTGCTAATCTCTGCTTTCTTGGTTTCTTAACATGATTAGCACGCAAAGGTGTAAATGTTGGAACACTTATATCTCCATCAACTGTGGCTGTTATCCTTATTTTTCTTGATCTATAGAGATCAGCTCGTACTGAATTTGAAGTGTGATGAGGATAGAAAATCCAAGAACAAGGTGATAAATTAATTATTCCACTATGAGCACAAGGAGGACATGCTCCACGCAACCTGTTGAGAAATAGTTATCTGAATTTCCATAAATGAAAAAAGAAGGTAAAGTGAAAAGGGAGAACAGAAAGAAAGGAACTGACTATTGTCATTCAAGCAAAATGATTATCATCATTAAAAGACATTTTTCAAAAACTCAAAGGATTCAATAACTGGCCAATAGCTAGAAAATTAAACCTGGTTCAGACGAGCCAAGTATACATGATAAAATAGTTCAATTTTGCAACAAATACAATAATTTTCCATTGTATCAACCCAAATCTTACTCACAAACAGATAACCCAATTGCTGTCCTTTTTAAGAAAGATAAATGAGGATGTGTCTATAACAAGTGAAGAAGAACCATCCTGCAAATATCTATTTGAACTCTGGATGTGCATAATAGTAAATGCATGTTTCAATTCTGAATTTTAATCATTGCTTATGTATTTACAGTAAATTGATTATTGATTGTATGCAAAGAAGACTTTATCTGCCAACTTACAAGATATCCAAAACCCAATAGTCACCCCCAAAAATATCCTCAGTGAATTGCTTGGAAGCCAACCAAAGAAGAGGAAGAAAGGACAAAGAGAGATACATGCAGAAGTGTAAATTTACAGGGCAGAGTAATTTAGAATGGAAGTAATAGCTTACAAAGAAATAACGGCTTGCTCTTTCAATCTATGTGCACTGTTAACACCACTTCCTTGTCTTAAGCATGGGTATCTACCAACCCAACTACTTAACTGTTGAGGATCACCAACTGTGCTCTTGAAATTATGGAAAGCTTCCACTACTGTAACACAGAGATAAGGAAAATAATTAGTTCCCTTGTCCTACAATCAAGTACATTAAATGATGGGGAAATATGTCACGAACATGGAACTTGGTCTTGTAAGTTAGTTCGGATAACCTCTGGTTTAAACTCCAGAAATTTTAGATGATGAGTTATGCAAATGCCAAAGTTTGCATTGTTCTATTGAACATGAAACCTGTACTCCATCATATATTTGGAGACCAGATATATAATCCCCATAAAAGAAAAAGGTATTAGTTCAGCTGATCATAAAATACTTTTGTAAAACAGCAGAATGACTCAACTAAGTCATGGTTGTAGCAGCCAACAACCCAGCTACTACTTAAAGCTAGGGAATAAGCAGTCCAAAGAGGTCCTATAATACTTCAATAGAGAAACACCCAGACGTTTGAGAGAGAGAGAGAGATCATACCGTATGTTTTCTGGTTTAAAATACTCGGCCCTACAAGCTGAATTATTATAAGCAGTGGCAAGTGAGGCCACCGCAAACAGCACATGGTAATGGGGCATTAAACTTGTAAAGCATCTGGCAACAGATTAACCTCTTTTAACATCTTCTGGTCCATGGAAAGCCATCAAACCAACTCCTTAAAAGCCCTGAATCCACACCAACAAACATTTTAGCAAACCCCAAAAAGGATGGATGATTCAATTCGTGGTTGATTAAGTAAGTTTTATGAGTAAGTTCGTTGTGATCAGTGAAGCTAGCTCCTAAGAACCAAGGATATCTGGGCTTCCGCTATTCTCACAAAATTCGAAACTTGCGATGAGGTTTACAAAATCCACAGGAAGGATTTTGACTATGGTAACTTGGTAAGAAGTCCAAAATCTAAATGGCTGGTCCACAATGTAGGTCTCAAGCACATTCCCTTTCAGGATTGAACTTCAAACCCCAATCGTTTTCTTAGTAATCTACTCCTGGAGAGGAATAGTTGGAAGATTTCTACAAAAGCTAAGGAGGCAAATTCCAGAAAAATCAACTGAAAAAATAAAAAAGAGCCTGGAGAGGAATAGTTGGTGAAACTTCATTTACCCTCATTGTCAACATAATTAAGATTTCAGGTCCCAAAATATACCCGGGTTCTATCAAAAGGTCAAGTTTCAATCATAGAGACGAAAGGAACCACAAAAAAAGCTTACGAAAGACCCACAGTAATGCCAACTTAACTTAACAATTCCATATATATATATATATTTACCGTGCAACTTTTTTCCTCCTACTGTCTGAGCTTTCACGGATTTCTTATTTCCAGAACCAATTTGAATATGAAAATTTTGGGTTCTCTCAGAAATGCAAATTGCACGGCGCAAAGCTGGAAATGAAAAACACCTCTCTTTTTGTCAGAGGCTCAGAACTCCATGATATGATTATTTCCTAAGCCAATCACGAGATTGCTTTCCAAACCCCAAAAAAGAATTTTGAGTTCCTTTAGAAGTCCGGAGAGACAATGAGTAAAACGAAGAAAATGCCTAAATATATATTGAATAAGAACCTCAATGCGAAGTGAAACCAGAATGTTCCACTTCTCCCATCCCCCAACCCCTGGTTCGTAAACTCCAAGAACTTCATGATTTCTAGACAAACCGGATCTAATCGTGGAGAATTTCCTGGTTCTTCCAAAGACCCACAAACTTTACAACAAAGTTAAGTTACTGGAGAAGATCTACAACATAAAAGGCTGCACAAAAGATCTTCACCAAAACGGGAAAGGGAAAGAAAAAAAAAGGAAACTGGTTTCTTAACGAGCTTTTAACTCTTTCATGTTTTTACTTTTTGGCCCCAGAAAGATTGAAAAGTGGCCAAATATAAACAAATGTCTTGATTCATGAACCAAGTTTACAACTGTATTGCCAGACATTGATTGAGCAAAGCAACGACAGAACGAACCGGGACAAAAGAGGAGGAAAAAACAAAAAGAAGAGAAAAAAAAATGACTGCACATGTTATAACTCTGTTCTGATGCAAGGCAGGCAGGCAAGAAGAGCTCTTAAATGCCAGAAAATAGGTAGTACAGAAAACAGAAAAGAAACCCAAACGAACACAAATGAAACGAAACAAAAGAAAGAGAAAAGAGAACACCATTAAAGTTGTCCTTCCTCTGCAACCCACTAAGCTCAAGAAATCATCCAAAAAACCGCAGATAGTTTTACTACTCGCTCACCAGAGAGCTTTTTTTCTGTTTCGTGTTTCCCTTTCCCAGGCAGGCGATCTCTTTGCAATGCATTAAGCAAAGTCTTCCCGAAGAAGCAACTCGATGCGTTGACGAGTGACGATGAACGACACCTTAATTACTTCATGGCAGAGATTTTGCAAGCAGGAAGGATTGATTATTTGTTCTTCCCAGGTCGCAGACGTACTTTGTTTTAAATTAACGTCCACCGCCTGCCCGGCGCCTTGTATCAATTGTCAAGTTGACCATTCTAACCCTTTGAGATAATAATTTCAAGGTATTACAGACAGACACCCTGTACGTGAGAGTGCGCGTATAGCCCCCTCCCCAGTTTGTTTTGATTTCAAATCAGCCCCGACAAAATTGTCCCCCACAACGTTCCCGTCGTGTATTAGGAACATCTCCGATGGTAATCCCAGAAATGATGATATCATCGTCGAGAGATCTTCTTAATACAGGGCGGGTAATGTTTTATTTTCATTGTCAATCCCATTAGAGAATAAGGGGCAAAGTGCTAGAAAATCAGGTGGTGTTTCTTTGATCACCATTTTCCCCGTTATGTGAATCCATATGCATAGCGACTTGCAAATGTAGGTTTCAGTTTACGTGCAGGCCTATCACCAGGGGAAACTTCATTTTAGCACTTCCCCCAATGGATAGGCTTTTACCGATGTCGTGCCTAATGATGCTTAAGTGTCAATAAATGGGTTTATTATTACTTTTCTTAATTTTTCAAATAAATCAAGTATAAAACGTTTAGTTAATAAATGTTCACCTTCCAAACACATACTTGGTTCTTGGTTGAGCTTATTTTGGGTGTTTCAAGAAACAATGCATAAAACTACTTTACAACTCAATATAAATAAACATTTTCTCATGGGTTGACTGTTTGGCAATGAGTTTCAAGAAACAAATATATGGGTGTTTCAGTGTGACACTTTCACTTGGATGTGTAGGAGCCATTAGTCGATCCAATGGTCCAAATTACACATGCTTGCACGTATTTGCCGATTTTCAGATCTAGCGGTAGACTTATGATGCAAACCACATCTAATGGTCAAAATGTGTGGTATAGGTTATCAAAGTGTGAAATCAATATTTATTGATGTATACTATATGCAAATTATCCATTTTTTCTCCTAACCTCATCTCATTCCTTATTTGTTAATTTCTTATGTTTTTGGATTCAGGAAAAATATTTTGTTAGTAAAATATTTGCTTGATCAAAAAATTATTATATAAAATATATTTATTTGCACCTTGAAAATTAATTTTGAAAGCGGGTTTTTTACTTAAGATGTTTAAGCTTATGTGAAGAAGACTTGATAAAAATTAGAAGTTTTATTGGATGAAAGCTCAAATGGGACCTGTCAAGGATGAAGCGTGGAGTGGCTAAATGGGACTAGTTTTGCTCTAGTAACAGATTTAGGGTAAAACCTACGAAAAAAAGGAAGTTATTGGCTTTGTTTTCCCTCAAAAAAAAATTCATGGAATGAAGGGCATGCTGATTGGATGGACCTATCGGTGTCAGACAAATCGATAGCGATTTTTTTTTCTAGTCACCAAACCTCTTGTAGAGAAGACGATTCTAGTTGTGCGTTGGTAATAGATCTAGGGCTAAACCTACAAAACAATGGAGAGTTGTTGGTATTTTTTTCCTCAAAAGAAAAAAAAAAAAAAAAGCAAGAACAAAGGGCTTACGGCGAATTTTTTTTTTTAGTCGTTGAACCTCTTGTACAAAAGATGATGGACTGAGATGCCTTCAAGCAAATACCAATCTATTAGGGTTTTTTTTGTTGCTATTTAGTGTCTCGCGATACACAGGTTCAATTCAAACTTCAGCCAGCTTTGCTAACTCGTCGGCGCCAGGTAAGTTTGGCATTTCAAGAAATGCCCAAGCGAGAATTTAAAGCTTTCCTAAATGGTTATGATGCACAGAAATTGAAGTGTAAAGCAAAGCTAGAGGTGTTAAATCAAATGTTACAAACCCCAAAAGTATACAACGACTTACCATAATTCTAATGTTCTTTATCTTTTTTTTTTGTTACAATTATTTATTTTTTTAACTAATAGCATGCACGGAAACATGGCATCTGGCCACACATCAAGAACATCTCGCTATGAATTTAACATACAACTATATACAAGCATGGGAGTTATTCCCAATTCATTACTGGCTGTCATGCTCTTAACTTTTTTTGTTTGATTTTTCCCTTTTAGGAGATCCGGGCTGTACAATGAAAGTGTAGCTGCAAATGTAGTTTCATAAAATACATCAGAAAATGATTTGATGAGGATGCATGTTATTCAAATAAAGATAACTGACATTATAAAATCAAATTTCAGTTTTATGACCTGCACTAAAACTAAGGCAATATCTGCTTTATAATAATATAGATTATTATTATTATTATTATTATTATTATTATTATTATTATCATTATCAAAATTAGTCTCTTTCAACAACAATTTTCTATTTAGAAGAAGTATAAATAGGAAGACATAATAAGTCTAGTGCAAAAATATACAAATAAGTAGTGTAAAAACCTTGGTTGAACATGGATGAAAAAAGAATCTTCAAGTGAACCCAAATTTGCACTCATCTCATTTGAATTCCTATGTCATACTAGTGCAAATGAAATTGCATTGCAAGTGGAGAAGAGTACAAATACTAAAATGTAATATTTTTGGCATGACTCCCTTTTTTCTACAATTGTTTTATAACATGGTTGTGTTGTGTCAACATCTCCACCCAAAACCTATATGGCAAATCTAGGACATGCATTTATTAACATAATGATGTTTGTTGAAAGTTTGTCTCACATTTATAACATTTCCTATAAAAGGCTCCATTTGGGAGGGTGTAAATACAAATGTATACAGTACAAATCATACATTTTTTACAAAACTTGTGCATATGTGTATTCTACAAATGTATTTGTACTTCATTTGCATCTATTCTACTTTGTTTTTTACTATAAACCAAATTATAATTTTTATAATTAATATTTTCATCATATACTTATTTTATTAGAACTAAATGGCTTTGGCTTGTAAGTGAGAGTGGATAAAGAGTTTGACAATTTTGTTCAATTTTTGTTGTATTGGTAAATTTGGTGCTATATATGGCTAAGTGAGACTCTGAGAGTGGATAAAGACAAATGAGGCAAGGTGATTCTCATCTCAGGGTGTACACATCATCCATTCTAGGGGTATGAATGATATTCGAAAAATTCAAGATTTGATATAATCTAATCAAATTCGGATAATTTGAATATCTAATCGGTCGAATTCAGATATAACATGATTTGATTCGATAAATATCCGAATTCAACCAATTATTTAATTCTTATATATAATATATAAAATATTTAAAAATTTTATATAGTTTATATATAAAATAAATAAAATATTTATTTTATATATTTATTAATTACCTAAAATAATTAATTGATCGAATTTAAATATTAATTTTCAATACCAAAATGATTAAAGCCCATTATACTCCCAACAAATGCTTCTAACAAGACACTACAGTGGAAAAAGATGCAATCGCTGAGTGGTGATGAATGCAGAGTCCTTAAAAAAAAACGCTAGGTGGAGAATGGGCTACCCTGTTTGCCTGCCTTCTACACTGAGCGAGCCATAGAGGGCTGAGGGGTGTTGAACTTAAAAGGCACATATTGGATTTCATTAATCGCTTCACTGGAATCAGATTCTACAATAACAACTTATAACTCTATCTAGGCCTCGGGCAAGAGCTTCCCAAGTACCCAAACGAATGGCTAGAACTAGAAGCTCCGCCGTTGTAACTTCTAACCGGATAATATCTCGTGGTACTTATCTCCTTAAAGGCTTAACCATTACACAACTCAAGATCGCTTTGCGGTTGGGGGTGGCCTTGTCAACTTAGGAGTCCGGCTTCAATCAGTGCAAGCATGTGTTTACACCATTTGAATATTCTCTTGCAACTTTGGATTGAGAATATCTCCCATAAATAAAGTACATGAGTTATAATGCAAGACTGTAAAGGCTGTTCAAATGGGTGTTTCACTGATCGAAGCCAAATTCCTAACCCAGGTGCAGCGGGATTCGATCTCAAGTCTCCACTACAACTAATAAGAGACCTTACCAACCAGCTGGTTGGCACTCGACACTTTACACATTGCACTTTATTTTACAAACACCTTTTGATCTGGTCTTGGGGATTGTAGGGGTTGTTTGGACATGCAATATTTTAGTTCTTTGAATCATTTGTAGTTCGACATAGCCAAAATAATGACTATTATTTGCCCTGAGAAATCATGCTTCCTCTCTACTATTATGAGAAGAATCCATCCACCATCCACCCTTTTGCCGAAGTGTTGCCCAATAATTTCTATCCATCACCATTTTTTACATTAGCATATTGGTGCAGGGGAACCCATGGCCTCCCCTATGGTTTAGAAAATCCCCACTGTAATACAACTTTCCATGTGAATTTTCCTCTCCCCCTACTCTCCTTCTCAATGATTCCCCCCGCTCCCCATGGGCCCATCCATATTTCATTTATGTTTTGGCCCCCCTTATAACAATTTCCTGACTCCGCCCCTAGGTGCAGCATATTTCCATATAAACAGTATTGATATGCTACATGGTTACGAATGGCCATGAGTAACACACTGGCAGGTGATTCAATGGGTGTTTAATAATAATTCCATTTATTTAAGGGTAAATTATAGATATGTACCCTGTACCTTGGGATAGTGACAGATAGGTATCCCGAAGTTTCAATTGCAACACTTGGTATCTTGAGCTCTCAAAAACAAACACTTAGGTTCATCCATTAGTATTTCATCAGTTAAACATTATATAATATCAAAAAAAAAATACCATTCTCGTGTACTTTTTAGATCATTTTGTG